TCCAGGGTTGTAAATAACGTTTCGTTAATAAGGTGACCCAAACAGTTAAGTGATTTGGGTCCTTCAAAAGAACTAAATAATGGGACACATTGCGAGACTGTTGAATGACCGAGTCAGGGTGCCTGGTCCGCCGAGTACGCAAGGATTTTCGTAAACACTGCACACAGCAAGGGTGCACAGTTTAGGACTATGGACATAAACTTCTTTAAGGAAAGATATATTGGCGTTATAAAGATGTGCTTTTCTGGCCTGTTAAAAGGCTATTGTCAATAGTTAAGAATGTCAAACTGTAGAGACATCCATGTGGTCTTGAAGATCCGTTTGAAATTGCAAGAGTAAAGGTTTGACAAAATACCCATAAATATTACGCTAATTATATTCCGAGTGCTTCGGAACAGTTTCTAACAAAAAATCATTCGTTTTTTATCAGCCTGTTTCTTTACTGCAGGTTGTATGTTATTGTTAACTATGTGAACAATGAGTAGGTATTTTCACGCCATACATAAAACATGAAAAATGTACATCAAGCAAAACTTTCCAATATAACTTCAGTTACCAATTTTATTAAAGGTAACGAAAAGTTTTCGGCCGAGATCGGAAGATGCTGAATTGAGAAAAGTTACTAAAAAATGATGAATCAAAGCTTGAAATATTGGAATGGTGCGTTTACGAATCGAAAATGTTATTATTTCAGTTATTATTTTAACCCTTAACGATCACACTTCTGGGACGTTTCAACATATTTTCCAGCCGAGTAAAATTTCCCAGCTTCAGTAAAAAATGTTGAATATGAATAAAAATTCAGAAACGTGAAAAAATTGAAAAAGTGATTTCCGTAAAAAAATTCATAATTTTTTTTTTATTTTACTATAAAGAGCTGAATACTCTTGAGATATACAATTTGAAAAAAAAAAATAATAAAAATAGTTGATTTCAAGAAAAGTAGTTATTCAGATTTACAGGATATAGAGTGGCTAAAATCGAAGCTAAATTGGCTGGGGTTGTTTCATACCTCGGCATGGCTGTTAAGGGTGAACGGAAAGTTATTATCCTCGTATATTTACGCAGTATTTCACATTAATATCCATGCAAATCGATATTTCAACAGCTATTGTACACCTTCATTTCTTTTAGAAAGGTAAATTATCGACCTCGAAACAATTAAATTTCTTTTGAATAACAAATATTACACCACAAACCTTGAGAAACAAGGTTTCTTGAAAATATAAATGTTTTCTTTTAATTTTCTCTGTTAGCATATGTTTTCCATCGACCATTGTATCATTGGTTACAGTTTGTTTCAGAATTTCACGATACATTTCCGCTGCAGTATTGTGAGCCACGGTAGCATAAAAATCAGGGATGCCAAGAGGGAGATTTCTCAAAGGAATATGCTTTAGTAGTTTGTCAGGATAATCGTGTAAACAGATTTAACCTCACATTAAAGAATTCGTATAATTGGTAACAAGAACCGCAATGCGATATAAAATCATGAAGCGTTTGAGCATAAAATCACGTTTGTATCTAAAGGTGTATCCAACGATGATAAAGCTGAAAGAGACCGAAAGTTTTTATCAAATAGACCCGATGTTTCAAACTCGGTTCAACGCGAAACTGAGGAATCACTCAGTCGGAGAAATCTCTTTTGAACATGTGACATGTTGCGAGAGAATACAAAATCGGGGACTATTAAGGACTAATATGGTTTCATGAATTTAAACAGGCGTTTGACACGATCAGGTAGAACTTTGCGTAAAGAGAAAATGGGGACAGTTATAAAACAGTTGCTGACCATCGAGTTAGGACCTCTATATGTATATTTTCAGCATTTCACACGTTTTCCGTAAAATTAAAAGGCCTGTTTAAATTGTAATAATTTATTAGCTACTAACATTACTACTGTACATAACATTATTGAAACATATTAATATCTTGTGTTTCCACCCTTTGTTTTAGTCACAGTTTCCGGCATGCTCTATATACATCATATGCTTTATATCTTCATTATTTTTCCCAAATATCTGTAATTCTTTTCAACTCAGATAATGTGGTTGGAGAGTTGTAAATTAGTCTTTTGATAGGCAGACATTTTCTATGGCATTCAAATTTTACCTCACGCGCTATCGATACTCGGCCTAATGTAAACGCTCGCACGGTTAATCGCTCATCACCCACACATAGTAACAAAATACTACGTACACTACCGCTCATAAGTATGTGGACACTTACATTTTCTTGAATTTCGGATACATATTATATGTTTTTATTGTTAACCAAAATCGTTCATAAATTCTAGTATTAATATGAATGTAATGTATTATAATATTACGAAATTATCAATTTATTTATTCAACTTTCTGAAATAAATATATGTGTTATTTTGCGTTGCGCGCGTAGAGTTTGTGGGTCTTTTCTCTGGCAGTTTGCAATGATTGCATCGCTTAAGTGAGGTCTGTTGCCTTCTCAAGACTAACGTAAACATTTGTAAACATGATTATATAGCCAGGATCCCACGACACGAAAATGCGAAAATTACATCACGCGGTGGATATGTTAACGAAAGGAAAATTTAAACATATTTCATCACTATCGGTAAAATATTTAACAAATTATTATTACAATATGTTGTCTAACACTGGAGGAAGTGGAATACATACACGATAAACAAATAATTCAAAGATATCACAATGTTTTCGGGCATCTAAAAAAATTGAAGAAGTGTCCACATACTTTTGAGCGGTAGTATATACAGGGTGTCCGCGCCAAAGTGTTACACCTTAATATCTCATGAACTATTGATGTCACGAAAAAGTGCTTATATGGAAATTGCAGGGTAAAAGAGGC